CCCCCTACTCTGTTGCCAGTCCGCTTCCCTGGCCATCGCTGTCCCAGAGAAGAAGCCTAACAAATGGATAATGAACCGCATGTGATATTTCCCTCTTTATGTTGGTTCCCTGCCGACGTCCTCTTCTGCCGACGTCCTCTTCTGCCGACGTCCTCTTCTGCCGACGTCCTCTTCTGCCGACGTCCTCTTTTCTTCTCGTTCCACCATTCTCGTTCCTTGGCTCTCCGCTTGCCGTCTCATTCGCCTTCCCCTGCCAACCTTCCCTCCCCTTTCTTGCCTCTCCATCCACGATATATCCACCTACACTTCCTCAGCCTTTCTTCTTCCTTGTCCGTCTTCTCGCCTCATTCGCATCCCCTCTCCGTCACATCTGCTCTCCTCCACTTCCCTGCCTCCCCATGCCATCCCGGCATATCCGCCTACCTGTCCAGTTTCTTAGCTCTCCTCTCTTCTCCTTATTTCTCTCTCCGCTCGTCGTCTTCTTCGTCTGCTTCCTGTCAGCCTTGCCTCCGCTTTCTTGCATCTCTACCCCCATCATATCTATCTACCCCTCCACTTCCTTAGCTCTCCACCTTTCTCCTTCCTTGCATCTCTGCTCTCCGTCTCATTCGCCTCATCTGATCTCCCCTACCACTTTCTTACTTCTCCACATCCCGTCATACCCATCGACTCCTCCAATTCCTTAGTTCTCAGACTTTTTCCTTCCTTACCGATCCGCCCTCCATCCCGTCCACCTTCTCCCTACCCTTCTTTTCATCTCTTCCTTCCCTCTCTCCAACCCATGCATCCATCCTGCACTCCCAATATTTCCTTCCCATGCGCCACCTCTTCCCGACACTTCCCATGTCCGCCCATCTCCCCACATCCTTACTCCTGCCCCACCATCTCATCTACCTACTTCAGTCCCCCACCTCCCGCTCCCATCCTCCCGCTCCCATCCTCCCGCTCCCATCCTCCCGCTCCCATCCTCCCGCCCCTGCACCCCCAAACTTTCCACCACCACCCTTACACACACACCACCACCACCACCACACTCCCATACACACCACCCCGCCCCTTCCAGCACGCCCGCGGGGCAGCCCCAGCCTCCGCACCGAGCACTCGTGTCATCCGACCGCGCCCTCCCTCCACCAACGACCCTCTTCTTCGAGTGAGGAAAACTACTTGTTAAATGGAGCTTATTTGCGCGGTGATACTTGTCGTAAATTCTGCTTTAGACTGTTCCTCACTTCTGTTTTAATTCGGGGTGTTAGTTGTCACAATTCAAATCAAGGGCCATCCACTCAAATGCTTCGAATGGAATGGAATGGAATTAGAGTGAAAATAACTACTGTCCTGCGAGACTCAGGGATTATAGAGAAAAGCTATAGTGTCATGATATCTGTGAGTGAATTTAATTGATGTGCTCTTATTAAAAGATTTTTAAGAGACTTCTTAACGGGAAGAGATGGCTCAGCGGGAGCATTACTGTTGTCTACGCTGCACTCCTGACAGTGAGATCGTAGGAATCTACTGTTATCGATAGGTGGTTTTTGACATTAACAGTATAGATAGGTAGAATTCAATCGCTGCCTGGAGGAAAATTCTATGTGCGCCTTATCTGATCGGTAGATTTCAGTGGTTTCTCCGATCAATATCAGGCTATTGCTATAGAAGTAGTCAAACAAAAAGATAAGGAACGATAATTCCCTCTTCGTTCTCTCCTCTCCCCTCACACACACTCACACTCACACATTTACACTCACATGTACCACACTACCACACATGACTGGAGAACAATCGGAAGCCTTAATGTTGTCTCGGTTTGAGTAGTGCCCCACTTCGAAGGGGAAAAATCTAACCGAGATACAGTTCGGCGCCATATCTCACGTTACTTTGACCATTTTCCGGGCTATAACAAACACTACTCTTCCGGGTTCTAATACCTAAGTAATTGACGCGCCTGGAAACAACACTCTCTCACTCATGACACATCTTCATTTTTCGTAAATCAGTACATTCATGACTCGTACAATTAAGTATCAAAAAATCCTAAAATTTAATGATTTCTAGAGAAATAAATACATACGAAGATGTGTTAAGATGATTATATGAGCTTAACACGTAAAATCGACGGAAAAGATACGACAAAAGCAATGACTTCATCCATACTACACTGATGGTATAACTTAATTATCTTAACAAATTTTTCATGTGGGGTGATTGATCATTGACACATTCTCATATATCATAAAATCGGTCACTTAATGACTCAATTGAAAGACGAAACTTGCACAATTACTAAATGATCTTTAACTTAATATTTGTTTTTATTTTTAGGCAACTCTGCGTTTTGGTAAGACCCCCTCTCCAGCTCTCTTCGTCTCAGCAGTGCTGGAATCACCGCCATATTCTTACGTTCTCGCCATACTATCGACTGACATAATACAGATAAAGTATTTAAATCCTGTAGCAAAAAAGGATAATTTTTTCCAAAAAATCTCCTATTTTGACACCCTGATAAAAGCAGATAAATTGTGTTCCTGAATGCAGTAAATTGCTACCTTTCACACGTTGTGTAGTAAGAATCTAGATTTTGTAATTCCTTGATTCCGCAAAATTGGTTTATGGCAAAACGGTTGTCTGTTCGTCTGACCGTCCGTATTCTCGGCTGGCCAAAGCTAGTATCTATACCACTCAAACAATTGTCTCCAGCATTAATCTTCCCGTCAATCTGGTCGAAATAAAATCCAGTTTGACACGGATTGAAATGTTTTTTATGTTTAGGGGGTAGTACTACGCATATAAAACCTTACATTTTCGAAAATGATCAAAAATTGCTTCAAATTTTTTGGTGTAACTTATCCCTCGTATTATGCAAAGAAATGTTAATTCGTTTTCCGGTATCAAGGACCCACAAAACAGGGATTCTGGCTACACTACGAGTTAGAGGATTTTTTTCTTAATATAGCAACTGGATTTATCCACGTTTTCGTTATCATGGCCCGACAATGATTTTTTCTGCCAGATATTCGTTGTGTTTTGGGACAGCATTACGTCTCTCTACACTTCTATATGTATATTACTCTGTATATACCTACGTGTACGAGATAAATTGCTTGAGGTCATATCTGGCAGCAAAAAGAGAGTGGCAGGCTGAGAAATGATATAGGAAGTGAAACTATGAATATTTAGCAGCACTGTTACTCGGTGTATAGAACGTAAGTTTGGCTAATTGAATTTTTGTTGGTGTATTTGCTTTGAAGTAATTAGTTTTGTACGAATATTTGTAAAGTATTCCATATATAAAGTTAAATGATAAAACACGATGTGCTTGTAATTCAATTTTTATGGATTTTATGGATTCACAAATTCATATTCTGCAGATTTGTAATCCTTCTATAGTTGGAACCTTTTTTTAAGTAATTTGTACAATGTCCTGCGAATACTGTTACAAAAGTAATTTAATTGTATTTGTTTGATTTGCAGAAGAGCAGGAAATGGCAACTATTTCTGGTAGCCTATGTAGTTATAAGTTCGCACATTATATGCTACCAACCGCTATTTGGATATTTTTCTTCTATTTTTACAACTATTACAGATTTGCAATGTTTTTGGAGACGGCTGGGTGTAGAGGCGAGTTATAAGTTTTTAGAATGGAATGTATAAAATTATGATATTTATTTATTAATTTTTTTTTATTTATTTACGTTAAAAACAGTTAAAAGCTGTGCATGACGTGCTATGGGGAGATGTTAATTTGAAGTTACATATTACTTGGTCTATAAAAATTACAAGAGTGTTACTGTTGCATATGAGATATTTAATTCTGTTGCTCGTGTGACGTTAATGTTGTATCTCGAATGAAATCCGATTAAACGAAAGTTGTGGGGATTTGGTGCGTGTTTCTTCAAAAGTAACTGCTTTCTAAAGAGAAAAGGATCAACGCTCTTTAAGCTCCGCGAACACAGTACTTTTCGAGAGGATTATGCATTTCGGGACATTTTGAGGTTAATTGTCGGAATGAATGTTCCACATTTACATAACGATTTGCATTGTGAATTTCTACAAGTTTAACAGTACTCTGGGGATGGTGTCTATCTCTTTCTCTCTCGAAATTAGAATTTTCAGAGCCGGACAAATTACCGAGTTTTACCACAGCATCGCATCCCCATTTCCAACGAAGGTAAATTTTCATTGAACTATCTTTCATGATTTTTACATGTACAATGAATGATATAGTTCGTTGTTTTCGTTCCGTCATTAGAGACTATTATTATTGATTACTGCAATTAGTTCCCTTGAATTTTAAAATTCACTAATCGGTTGCAGTTTTCCCCGTATGAAACACAATAGACCTCATAATTTTATTAGAGCCCCAAAAAATTGGGTATTATCTATTGTGTTAAGGAGAAAGATACCACTTTTATGATTTTTTTATTTTAAACAATGAATCTCTATCATTAAAACGTATTTATTTGAAATATATATCGAAAAATATAAAAGTGATATTGGATTGAGAGAAGACAGTAAAATATAAGATTTTACACTGTAGAACAGAAAATAATAAATATCTTGTACAATAATTTTCTGATGAACAGTCATCTATATCAAAATGCTATTTCCAATAATAAAACATTTAGAAAAGAAAGTTGATTTTACACAACATATATACGAAACAATCTTCGGTAGAAGATGGAAAGAAATAATTAAAACCTAAAGTCAGAATCAACTGTTTCTCATAAAGATTTGCCCAGTTAAATTTACAGCATAAAGAAAAAATAAAACCAACATGCACTATGCTGCAATAGGTAACAAAATATTATTTGTTAAATACGAAATCAAGTTCTATAATATTAGTTCACTGAATGTGTGGACCTCTTTGAGAACTCTAAAACCAAATTAATTAATTCTTCATTCATTTCCTTTTCCTTTTACGTCTGATTATGAATCGGGGGAAATGTATATTTACGTTTTCTGATAGGTAATGGAGTATTGAAATATTGAAAATCGTTACTTACCTCCAGAATCTTGCAGCGTGGGTTGTTGCAGGGCTCGTCCATGCAGGGTCGATACATGCCCAGCGTCACGCAGTTGAGCAGAATAACCAGCATGGAGATACGTTCGAACCACGTACACAACAAGTTAAGGATCATTTCAAATAGTTTCAAAAGCAAAACAGTACACTTTTGTAATGTGATATAATCAGGCACACACACTGTGTTTTAATAAAACGTTTAAAAATGAATTCTAATATATACATACAATATCAAAAAACTGTTGGCAATGTTTCAGAAAACAATTGTTTGGGGCTTCTTTTATCAGAAATAATTATCATATTTGGAAATGACATGTCCCCCAGACAATTCCAAATGTATAGATATGTGGTGGATTAACAATGCGATTGCTACGTCTTCAAAAATTCGGCACGAAAATATTTGGTCAATTATGTAACTATAAAACGTGCATTGCATCACTGTGTTTCATTGCGCAATTTTACATTATGTCGGAATTTCTTGTCTAAGATCAGGTACAGAATTTTATGAATGAAACAAGATGACTCACGCAGGTTGCGTAAATTAGTTGGCGTATACTCAGGGTTACAACTAATAATTTTTACGGGGGCCAGATGTGCTAATAAAACTCGCCTTGTAGTGTTGCATTCACGCGGTCTTCCAGGCGCTTGATCCACAGCCAAGCCGCTCCCCAACGCTTTGATCTCAAGAGGGATATGTTAACGAGCCAACTCACGACCCCTTGCTGGGGAAAGAACCTTGCTCTGCGTCTAATGGCTCTCAGCCTCGTCTTCCGGGCCTGTCAGATTTCAGTGAGGACATGCAGGAGCCCGCCTGAATACGTGCACACAGCACGTGCATCAAGAGTTCTGCAACCCGTAAACAAAAATAAGGAAACGTAACTAGTAGATGATACTCCTTGACATTTCAAAAAAGATACTTGCACCTAATGTAGGCAAAACTTACGTGAAGAAATTGTGTTTAGAGACTAGACTTTCTTACTGGAGTTAGATGTAATAATGCACAACTTCACTGAAATACGAAAATCAATCTTTTGTCAATTATTAGATTGTTGTAAACTATTCCTTAATTTTATACAAACCTATTTATTTTGCTGTTCAATATTTAGTAGTTTTTATTATACAAATAAATGTATTAGAATAATTAGTCTACAATTTAATTACCTATTATTAGTCAAATATAGGACTAATCTCGTAACAAGCCATATATAAATAATTCAATTTCTATTGACAGCAAATTCCAACTCAAATTAAAATAAATGAAGCATTTACTCTCGTTAATAAACTTTAAATTAGTTATCTTTATTATATTATTTTTAATATAATGAAAACATGAGCAGTGTTTTAAAGTATTAAAGTAAATTTGTACGCCAGCTTATGATGGCAAGATTTCACTTACACAACAACGGCAAAAGGAAATACACACCAATGTTTCTTGTTAAAAAATAAGATTAGTAAAAAGGTACTCTTCCACTCTTTGAAAAGTAATGTGAAGAAAATTTTCAATTTCCAAACGTTTTACACGGGAGAACAACTACCATGAAACAGAAAATAGTTTGGTACATCGTTTGAAAAATAACACGGACTAAAATACAATAAGGTTACAAGCAAATCATAGTTATCTTTATTATAAAAAAACTTTAATCAGCAACACTTATCATTGACATAAACTACAGGAAACTCCTGATGACAAAGTTGTACTACACGTTCATATCTTCAGTCATGAAATGTTTACCACCAGGATTCGAACTTTGACTATCACACCATCACATTCCTCTCTGGTCCACGTCCTCGGACGCCGCAGCTGGCGCTATCTGCACGGAAATCCTCAACAGAGTACTCTTTCTCGCGAAACGAACGTTACAAGCGACGATGAAAAACACGCGAGGAGAATCGCGTAACATGGCAGCCCTCCAAATCCGCCACTCATTCAGAGCGGAGTACGCGAATCGTTTAGTGTGAACGCCATTGTTACGAGGCGCATTATCTGGGCGGCCCTGACGCGGCCGCTGAGGCGGAAGGCGTCTATTCGCGAGGGGGGGGGCGGGGCGAGGCGGGGGCAGAAAGGGGGAGGTGAGCGGGAAGTCAGTCCGCGCAGCGAAGAAACTGGCAAGCTCGACAGCCGGACCGATACACAGCTCCCGGGCGAATTCGCGGCGTCGGTCCGAGAGTGAGGCGCCTTCCGCGCAGCGCAACCTCGCCCAGGTCACCGGCGAGCCGCGTCTCTGCCGGCCCCACTCCTTCGCTGCCCTCGGCCTCACGCCACTGTGCCCCAACGTCTCCCCTGGCCATCGTGCTGCCACGCCCCGACCCCCGTGCCTGACCGACGCTCTACCGCTGTCTTCACGATTCGTTGCCGTTATGCTCCCTCCCCCGCCACCGACGCCCCTCCGTCACCGCTGTCGCTGTCCTCCATCATCATCACGCTCTCCCCGTCGCCGTCACGCTCCCTCCAGTCGACCCTACGCCTTCTCCGACGCCGTTACGATCCTTCCGTCCCCGCTACCGCTTCTCCGTCGTCGTACGCTTCCTCGTCACCGTCACCGCTCCCTTCCGTCACACTACGCTCCCTCCGTCGGGCCGTCATGCTCCCTCCGTCACACGCTCTCTCCGCGGCGACCACGCTCTTTCCGTCGCCGCTACGCTCCCTCCGTCACCGCTAAGCTCTACCGGTCGCCACCACTCCCCTCCGTCACCCTCTCGATTCATCCGTCTATCGTTCCTACGCTCCCACCGTCGCCACTACCTTCACCTTGCCTACCTCCCCTGCCACCACCGCTGCCACCCCCTACCTTCAGAACTATCGTCTTTTCGGCCCTCTCTTGCTCGCCTCTACCACCGCCACCTTCCCTCCCGCCTCCCTCTTCACCGACGCCTCCGCCTCCGCAGATATCACTACCTCCAACGCCGCCGACGCCCCCACAGCAGTCGCCTCACTACCTCCGTCACCACACTCGCCTCTACCTCAACCGCATCTCCACCACCACCACCACCACCACCACCACCTACCGCCTCTGAAGCAACTTCTCCGCCTCCCCTTCCATCGCCCCCACCGCAACCGGCTCGCAGAGGAACGCGCGAGAGAGAAGCAGGCCTGAGTTGCGAAGTCTCTGAATATATCGCTGGAGGGGTGTATAAGGTGGAACCAGTGGAGAAGTGAATAAGGCGGGAGGGAGATTTTCTCGGGAAGCACGGAAAGAGGGCTGCGAAAGGTGCAGAGTAGATGAAAGGAGAATAAGGTGAAAGAAGTAACGCTCAAGAAGACGATGTTGTCGGTTTGCACGAGAGCATACCACGGCCTACATTAAATCCGTTGATGTGATGTGTGTCGCGCAAGGTCGAGGTCCTGAGGAAGCGTCTTATTTTGAGAAAAGAAAAGTTCGTGGCTTCTTTACATTCGAAAAGCAAATTGAGAGATGTTGACTTTTGTGAGAGTTCCATTAGTTTTGGGCGACCTTAGGCAGAGAATTATCGGAAATTCTGAATATGAAAGAAAATGCTACATCTCTCAAAAAATCGAAATGAAAGTAGTTGTGTTAGTTATAAGCAATATCGTGTGAACATGCAAGACATATGAAGAAAAAGGAGAAGCGCGTAGTTATTATAAAAAGATGAAATTTTCGTAATTCATAACAACATTTCTTAAAATATTCACTAATTTCAAAGAAAATTTTCATTCTAAACTAAAAATAAAAATATATGAATATAGGATGCGAAAGGGCTGGGATCATATAGCACACTTAGTCTAAATGGTTAAATTAATTGGTTTCAGAAGAGATCTGTAATAATGGCTCCGAATGAAGGTATGTTCATAACAAGAGAAGCTAACTATATGTGTAAAATACCTACCTATACCTTAATATTATCATTTTTAATGGAATAGGTACTAATATATTGCACTGTCGCCTTTAATACGATGTGCATTTGATTTCCTGTCTCGCAATAACATGTTTCGCATGAATCTACGTGATTCCAGTGAATGTCACGCTGACCTCTATACCGTAACTTTCTCGGCTTCGTAGCGTCTGCTTGTACACTCCTTCCGTTCGTATATGACCACAGTCTTCCAAATGACTTTGTCCTGCACTACCGTCCACTGCATTTCATTTCACGATTTTGAAATGTCAATTTCCTCTGTTCCATGAACGCTAATTTGTTGGAATTGCTTCGTAGCATTTGGTAAAATTGTGAGTTTTCCAGTCGCGGTTATGTATATTTTAGAACAATATGGTTGATGTGTGCATGATCTTGGCTGTCCGGGTGACACCGCGTCGAAAGCTGTGTTGCCGACGTTTCGACCATCTTGTCGTGGTCTTCCTCATACCAGCCTTGAAAAAGGCCACGACAAGATGGCCGAATCTTCGGCAACACAGCCTTCGACGCGGCATCACCCGGACAGCCAAGATCATGCACATGACAGGCCGCGGAAGCCTACGACTTCAATATGGTTCATGCATCTATCATTGTTTCGAAATACCTGTCTAAATTTTCTTTAAATTGGTACAGATTTGCTTGAAACAATTGTGAACGATAAAAAATGAATACGAACAATGAAGTGTAAGATTATAAATTCTCGTCTATCCAGAAGGCGCCGCGTCGTTGGCTGATAGGCCGACGATTCGCCTGACATGACGCAGGCTTCCTCAGAGCAATGACAGACGAAAGAGCAGTGAATTAAATGCCCCGGTGACGTAAGGAGCCTCACTGCCCTGAGGAAGTTTACCTATAGACGTAACGCAACAAAAAAGTCATGAGAACTTCTAGAAACGAGAAGAACAAAGGCGAGGCTTTGCGCTCTTTATAAATCGTACGTAGGTCAACCAGCTTAGAAGGAAATTCAGATTAGATTAGAAAAACCAAATTATTTCGGCCGAAGCGATCACACCCACAAAATTCGAGCAAGGAAACAAAATTCAGATCTTGGGAAGTTTTCCTTTTGTAACAGAACAATTAGAGATTGGAGCAGTTTACCTGCAACAGTTTTCAAAGCTTTTCCTCTCAGTGTCCGAAGTTTTAGAAACAAATTAGAACAAGATATTAAATAAGTATGTGCTGTGTAGTGCGGTGAAGTGCTGTGAAGTGCTGGTCAGTGTGTAATTCAAAGGTAATTCAAAGCAAAAA